GAAATCCTTAACTCAAGGTGCAGAACAATTAAGTTATCAAGCCAATTGCATTACTTACTACAACTTGAATTTAGTTTTGAGTCAATTAACGCAGAAATCCGAGTTTAAATTACACACAATATTAAGTCGATGTAATTACCAACATTATTACGTCAACACAACTTAGAAATTAATGTTTGCAACTTAAAATGTTTATATAAATCAATTATCTCACATTTTTTACTTGCAACCATGCATTTAATTAAGTGGAGGTGAAAGGTCCCCTGAATTAGTTTTTAGAGTGTGTGCATCATGAACAGGCTGACGTCGTTTAAAACATTGTGAGTGAGAAGGAATGTCCCTTTGGGAAGTGTGTGTTGCCTTGAGTCCTCCATTACGTCGTGGGAGGAAAAAGCTGAAATACAAAGAAGCGATGCAAGGAAGGTTGAAACATGTCTTTGTTTGAAAAACAGTTTTTTCTCCGACCACTTTATAGTTCTAGGCAGGTGTTTTTTAGAGGTTATAACCTTGGAAGAGCATCTTAAAATAGGTGAGGGTGTGTGGGTGGAAAACTCTTTTGATGAAAGAAAGAGATGTGTTGTTTGTAAAAGTGTCTATTCTACAGGGGTCTGCAGCGAGACAGAATCTGCCTCTCGCCTTATTTAAGGGCACCTGAAGACAAGTGGGCTTATAAGAGCAAATCTTAACAAAACGCCTACAAGTTTTTGAATTTCAACCCAAGGCTTATCTCTTTTTCAAACATCCAAATTCCAAAACATTAGGGATGAGCTGCTGTGGCTCAGAGCCAGACGTGAAGAAGCCTCAAGCAGCAGACACACCAACAGTTAACTTTATAATCCACACTGAGCTGTAAATATGTACTTTGTTAGCTCAACATACTAAATGGATCCATCTTTATAGAAATCCTTTTAACATCAAATAAGAGACTAATGTGCAGACCAGCAGCTGTCCAATAAAAGAGATTTATGTGGCAGATGTTAAGAATGCTATAGGCGTTTACTCCCTGTTCCTTTTGACCTGCAACCAATCCAAAAGCCTCCCTTAATCCTTTAAGAAGAGAACGTTATCTCACCATGTTCCACCTCTTACTTAAATCAATGAATAATGATACATATGGTAAATCTTGTCCATGGCATCATTCACTTTTAATTTATCATCCTATATTTTAATCACTTTTTTCCTATAGCTCAACTGCTTCTTTATAGGTCTATAATTCATCAAAATGGTTTCCTATAGTAAAACACTCTGAGCGATTGTGTGTCTCTTCCACAGACTTCTAACAGTGCGCATTAGCTGATATTATTGCTAAAAGTGTTTGAGTGCACAATAACTTTGGCAAAGATCGAACCAAGAGAACCAAATATAACACCAGAAATCTTCCCCCTTCCTTTTTAGTCATGCTTTAGAGTCCCATTATATGCGTCTATACCCAAAGATAAGGAAGAACCAATTTTGCCCTGGAGTGTCTCAACACACCTTAATGCCAGTGAGTCAGAACATGATACACAGCGAGTGTAGAAGGACAGAAGTCTCTGAACAGCAATGCCACTGTTTTAACCTCCTACAGCATTTCCCTGAGGATATCCCAGGAAGCACAGTCCTTCGTCTGTTTCCAAAAAACCCTAAAATAGAAAAATAAAAATCCCACATTGTTTCTCTGGGACATGCAGGCTCAACAACTGGGCAGAGTTGCAAGTTGAGACAAACCCTGCAGCATATTATCTTTTTTGATGTATAATGTCTCCATGTGTGATTAATGAGGAAACAAAATAACCCAAATCCTACCATTTGAGAAGATGTTTGTTTGCAGTGACCTACATTGAATACAACTGTGTACAGTTTAACATTCTCCAAAAGGGTCTGACATTTATTGCTTTTTGACAATGGAAAAATAAGGTTCAAAGATTTATGAAACAACTCTTACATCTGAGCTAAAAATATGTCAGTTTCTCCTTTCATTGAGGGTCCATCTTTTATTTTCGTAATACCCCACAGAGCACGAAAGTGAGCAGTAATGCCGGATTAAGTGATACAGCACACACTGCTATTGTTTTGTGTATCATTACATTTAGAGTGGATGTTTCTTGGAAAGAGATTGCATCTTTTATCCACCAGGCTGATAGCAAATGGATCTGATATAAACCATACCGAGAAGATTATTACCAGTAAATGCATTAGTGGAAACACATGTGAGTGATGAAGCGCCTGCAGGCTCCATCAACACTGTGGTGAAATCCATCACATAGATCTAAGAGAGGCTCTCTCAGAGATGGACAGTGTTGGAGCACTGCTGTGTGGTGATGAAGAGGACTGCATGGAGTCAGAGTTCAGTACAGACTAGGAATTATTGGCGTGGACAGTGCGCATCATTATAAGAGTTTTTTTTTCTTCCAATGTCCTGGTTTAGGAATACCCGGATCAATACCACCTGCGTGAGGAAGTGCATCTGAAGTATAGACATCTGGTATGATGTGTTTAATGTAAGACTGAATAATAAATATAGGTTTAAATATTTTTGCTATCACACATTTTTTTAATCTGGTTTTACACTTTTTGGAACACATTTTTGTAATTCACCTTAGATCAAATAAAGTGTTCTGTTTGTAATGATTTTTGTAATTGATGTCTTGTGCTGATCGTGGCTGCTGTGATTTAAACTTCAGCCACCAGAGGCTGCAATTTGGTCACAAATAATGCAGGCTTTTTCTATATTCTGAGTGTTGATGTGTTCTCTATTTCACTACTTGATTCATTACACTTACAGTATGTTAATGCAAATGCATCCACACAAATGTTTATACATGTTGGGTTTTGAGTATGTGTAATTGTCATAATTTGACCTCAACTTGTCAAGCTTAATATGAGCTGAGAATCTTCAGAGAACAACAACTATCCTGTCATTAAACCCCACACTTGTCTCCAAACAGAACATTGCTTAAAAATCTGTTTAACAAACATGTCAGGCAAGTTTTATTCTTTCCTGTGTTTTCTACTCTCCTGTGGTACAATAATGTTCCTGTGATCTCCTTGTAGGATACAGGGATTCATCATTTGCTGGTATTTATAGAGTTTGCTTTGAAAATATATAATGAGATCACAATGGAATCTGCACAAGGGATCATAACAGCATGACACAGCAAGTGGGCGCTTATTGCAGAAACATTATAAATGTGCTACGATTGGACTTGTTTGAGGTGGTTTAAGGTTACAGAATGTATCATAAAACGAAATGCATAGAGGAACACAAATGATGTGAGATGTATACAATCATTTATACGAAAGATTAATTATCAATATTGTACTGTTCTGCTAAGGACATGAAGCCACATGATGGGGTTTTAAAGGCTAGAAAATATGTTTGTTGGACTCAAAATTATCATTTTTTGTTTTATGTGTATACTTTTCTCTGCTGAAATTATATATATTTATATGTGAAACCCCTACATAAAACATGGTGTATATATATATAAATAAATCAATACAAAATGGGATTTACAATGTATGCACCAGAATGACTTTGCAATGGGAAGAATGCTTTAACAGTCACCTAATTTTTTTATTTAGCACTTTTGAAAAATATGAAATACATTTATTGATACAGTGTTATGCTTGGGATAAGGTCAGGACATACGTTTATATATTTAAATAAACCAAATATTCTGTGAAATAATGTCCAAACCTGCCTATAAGCCTACATGTTGTAAAAATGTAGGCTTTGCAAATAAATTACCCCACCGAGGCTGTAACTCTTCCCCGGCCAAAAGGCAAAAGGGGGGACATAAATATCTGAGGGTGCCTCCTTTGTTCATCGTTTAGTCACCTCTGTGGCCCCTGGAAAACCATTAAACGAGGAGGACTTCTCCCAGGAGCCCGGCATTCCTCAGATTCCTCCGGTCTGATGTCAGAGCTGAGGGGAGGCATCTGGACCCGCTGCTGCCTTCAGGGACCCCGCCAAGGCTGGGACATCCCGACTCCACTCTACGAAGGGATTCTTGCCCTTGCTTACATCATTTCAGTGGAGATAAATGCACAGGGTCCAGGGACATACATTTTTTAAAATAAAATTGCTTTCTTTTGATAAAAACAGATGTATGTTTTAATTATGTGTTGTAGTGTAAGAGAGCAGTTTAATGCACTTTTTAGGAAACTGCCTTCCTAGCTAGTTATATATATACCATTCAAATTAATATCTGTTTACAAGCTGAATATACAATTACAGCCAGCTTAGGTTAGCTTAGCACAAAGACAGAGAACAATGGCAAACAGCTAGCATTGCTGCGTCAAAGTGAAACAAAAACTACGTGCCAGCGTCCACACTCTTTAATACCATTATTAATTAAGTGTAAAAAGTCTAGATCCCAAAATGTACACTTTTGTGATGTCATTAAAAATGTAGTTTAGTGACCACCACCAGCTGTAATTATCCTTGTTGTACTTAAATAGTATATATATATATATTATAGAGGTAAAATGATGTAGGGATTCACAATTTAGATTAGATTCAACTTTATTGTCATTGCACACAATAGTACTAAGCAACGATATGCAGTTATGAGTGTTCATGGTATAATATAAATATATACATGCCCTATGGCAGATATAAACTGAAGTACACTACCGTATAAGGAGGTATAACCATTATAAACAGCAGTATATACATTGAATACACTATAGATCAGGTATACAAATAGAAAGTATAATAAACAATACATAATAAATATTAATATATTATAGACCGTTATTGACGTTTTGAAAATTTGAATAAATGTGGGTATGGTAAAGACAAATGTGGCCAAAGAAGACAAAGTACCAAAGTCAACTATTTTACATAGTTTAGTAGTAGCCTACATAGGAAATGTATTTGTTTGTATGCATTAGTGTCATCATGTCAGTGTCAGATTTTCCTTACCCAATGCATAACGTCCCCTTTGACTAAATATCCAAATTCCAATATTTTCTGCTGCTCGTGAACGCAGCTTTTGCTTGTCTCCCCCCTGTCCTGAACGCGTCCATTGGACTACAGGGACCACTACTATAAACATATCAAAAGTCGTTGCGCTCGAAGAGGACCACGTCGTAGTTACACACAGCCGAGTTGGAGAACTTTTTGTGACTTTTTTTATGACTTTTGGGCTCCGTGAAAAAACGGAGAAAAAACGTGGGAGTTGGAGCAGCGACAGTTTGTGACTTTTTGTTCTGAAAGTTGCTGCGCTCGTTTGATTCAAGAGTCTCTCGTGGGAACGTATTCAGAAGAAAAACACGATATGAGGATTATCTGCTGGCTTTGAGCTTCAACGCCGTCGAGCAAAGAGGAGTTTCTCCAGCAAGGAGCAGAAAACGGCATGTAGCGCAGGATTTAGGGTAAGTTTTCTTCATGCAACAAAACAAAATCATAACCAGGAGAGTTTTGTTATGCTCTTGGTTGTTTCCAAAACGCCTTGAAGTAGTGAAAAGCTCTTTTAATGTCTCAATGCGCAGTGTAACATGTAGGCCGAATGGCCCGGGCCACGTATAGCAGTCAGGGGAACCCAAATATTCTCATGCTAAACCCCCACCCCGTCTTTCTCCATATAAACATACATTAAAGTACAGGCAGAGCCTCCTTTCCTCTTGAAAATATGTGTACCACTGAACTGGAGAACAAAGTAAACCTGTAGGTAAACTGAAAGCAGTGTGAAGAGTTACACCTCCAATCACAGCAGGCTACCACGTTATAGTAACAGGTAATGAGGTAATGCTGAAGTATTAAAACAACCATCATGAATTTTGAATATGAATAAACTTGTCTAAAAATACTGTATGGAGGCTTTTGCACAAACCCCCTTAGTACCTAGTTTGGACTTCTCTTTTGGAGGCAATGGACAAAACTAGGCATCACTTGGATGACCTACCTTACTCTATTGTTACTACACACTTAAATAATAATTAACAGACGCTTATTGACTGTATGTTAGTGCACAGTGCATGGAGTCATTCAGGTAAAACAAGAGACTTAAAGTAAGACCTGCATATGCATCCGTATGACCTACAACACTTTATTGTTACACCTAGAAATCACACTCTGACAACCACCTGTGTTAACATACGCTCATTGACTGTAGTTTATTGCACACGGCATGGAGTCATTCAGGTAGAAACAAGAGACTTGGAGCAAGAGCTGCACATGCATCCTTCCCAAAGGTGACTTACATCATGGGTTCAATCGTGATGATGTTATCATTTTTGTGTGCCCTGCTCACACCCTGTACGTGCATGTTTGTGTGAGACTATGTAAAGATGTGTTTGGACATGCACCTTGGACTACCACCATCCATTACTGTACAAAAAAGAAAGGGAAGAATTCTGTAAGGGCAAATATAGCATAGCTGCAGGAGGCGTGGGCCACACACACACACACACACACACACACACACACACACACACACACACACACACACACACACACACACACACACACACACACACACACACACACACACACACACACACACACACACACACACACACACACACACACACACACACACACACACACACACATACTAAGGTATATACGCTCTAAGGCATGCTATGTAAATTATATGGTGCCAAAGCAAGTGGCTCGGGAGTACACACCACTTTTAAAACACTGATGGAGGATTTAAAGGACCAGACGTCAGAGTTGTAGGTTCCGCCTTCGTCCGTGTTTTCATCACTTCATGGTGAGGCTTGTTAATAGTTGAGTCACAAGGCAGTTGGGTTACATTTCTAATACGTGTCTGATAATTTCCACACAAGCAGAGTCAAATGTTGCCCTCTATGTCCTTCTTTTATATTTAAAAGCTTAAGGAATTTGCTCCTGAAATGTTAACGCTAAGGACCAAAGGCATGTTTTGTTTACGTTGTGCATGGTAAGACTGTAATACGTGTTTACTGCATAATGCGAGGCTGCATGTTTACAGGAAAAGTGGCCATTGTTTGTGTAGCCAGTGGTCATCTGAGTCTAAAGGCCATTTGATTGCTATGTGGGGGGAACACACCTGTAATTTTGGTGAAGGGTTCGCGCTGTAGCACAGGAAGAGAGGGAGGGAGGAAAGTGACTGTTGTTATTGTCGTAGCGGTTTTAAGTGAAGGCCAAGACATGTGCAACATTCCTTCAAACTCCTGTTGTTCTGCAGATAAAAGATGAAGACCTCCTTCCTGTTTCTTACAATTTCAGTGATTCTATTACATTTACATTAACAAGGGCTTTCTAAAATGCTGTTTTTGCTGTATTTTGTACCGTTATTATGGATCTATTATACTTTAGCTATATCATCCTAAACCTTATTTTATTCACCCTATGTCTGACACAATTAATCAAATACAAATTTGACAAACAAGGCATTTTTGGAGTCCTTTGTCAAGCTAAAGTGCCAGAACCTTTTGGTTTGTGCTTTTGAAAAAGTGGCCATTTAATAGTTTTTATCCTAGTAAATATGTAAGTGTTTGTCAGACAAAGCAAGCAACTTGAAGATGTCACATGTGGCTAAAGGAACATTTGATGGGCATTTTCAAGTTTTCTGACATATCAACAGATTAGTTGCGAATGTCATTAGTTGAGGTAGGGCTGTGCAATTAATCGTATTTTAATCGCGATTACGATTATGGCTTGCGACGATTATGAAAACAGCATAATTGACAAAATACGATTATTTTGCTGGGTGCGCTTCACCCCTCCCTAAAAGCCCACTCGGCCACGTAGTAGTGATATGTGTTGTGAGTGTTCAGCGCGAGCGCAGATGTCAGAACAAGAGCAGCAACTCGTTTAAAAAGAAGGGTACAACTATTTCCACTATTTGGAAGTACTTTGGCTTTCAGGAGTCCGACGTGGAGCAAAAGAAAGTAGGCCTACAGTGCAGGATTTGTTACCAGGTTGTGTTGGCACCACACGCTAACACAACCAATCTCTTTAATCACCTGAAATACAACCACAAAGTGCAATACGACCGGGCAATAATACAACAAAAAGCAGATGCCCGCTCGACTTCATCCACCACATCATCACAGTCATCGATTCAGGACGCATTGTACAGAGCAACGGCCTACGCGACGAGCTCTCAGAGACACAGAGATATTACAGGTGCCATTACATTTCACATCGCTAAAGATATGTGCCCAGTTAGCACTGTTAGCAACCAGGGCTTTAAGCAACTTGTCAACACGTTGGACAAGCGTTACGCGATGCTGTCTCGGTATTATTTCATTCGGTATTATGTGACAAATGCCGTGGGGAAGTTGAGAGAGATGTGGCTTCAGCTGACTACTTTGCCACCACAACGGACCTATGGTCTAGCCCAGGGGTGCCCAACCAGTCGATCGCGAGATGTGTCTACAAATAGAACAACAATATTCTGTTTTATCGTTAATGTCCTGTAAGATAATCTTCCTGTGCCAGAATAATGCACTTGAATGCATCAAAGCTTTGTGATTGGCCGGCGTCACATGTGTCGGGGCGTGGCTGAGGGTCTTCAGTACAGGTGGCAATATCGTCACCTGCCTGCGCTCATCTCTGAAACCAGACCATGTAAACAGCCTGGTGTTTCTTGCAAAAAATCTTTAAGAGATGACATGAGCAGCCCTACCAGCATTTGCCATGGTGGCCAACACATTTTTATTTGGTCTTAAATTGTAGTTCAACATTTATTTCCTGTTACTTCTGGACCATGACGGTTGGCCAGCCTTCAACGTTTAACTGAGTGGAATATGTTGAATATGTTGAACCAACATGTTGGCTATATGTTAAGGAGTTGTCAGTAGGTTGTGACAGTGCACTGCATCATGTTTGATTTCATTTATTTTGGTCTAATTTATTTTTATTTATCATATTAATAATTTATGTTTAGTATGGTTTTGGAAGTGCGGTCCAACATATTTGTTCTTGTTTATTGGTAAAATATTATTTGTTTTAAAGTTCAATAAATGGTCAATGAATAATCGTCAAAATAATCGTGATATCAATTATTGACCCAAATAATCGTGATTATGATTTTTGCCATAATCGCACAGCCCTAAGTTGAGGCTCTAATTGCAATAATTCCTTATGAATGTCATGCTAGTTTTAGCAGCTCTGCTCGAAAAACAAGTAATTATTTATGTGAATGACATAAAAACCTGCTTTTAAGGAGCGTCAAAATAAAAACATGTTTTAAAAAAGTTCCTAATAACTTAAAACAGTTTAATATACAATAATGTGCAAGCTGGGTCTGTGTGTGTGTGTGTGTGTGTGTGGCGCGTGTGTATGCACACTTGCAGAGAGGCTTTTGTAAGAGTTGTGTAAGTGCTGTGCTCTCTGGCAGCCCGGCAGACAACAACAGAGCAGAGAGCATGCCGCCACATGCCCAACTCTCCCACACTACACCTGAGGCAGCTTCCAGGTGCTGCGGTGGAGTTGTCAATCACAGCTGGTCCCGCCCCCCACAGCAGGACAGACCCCTCTCCTTCTGACTATCCCAGGAGTTAAAAACGGTGACTTTCCCTGTAATGTGTCTCACATATGGTGTAACTGTACACATTTTATAGTATTTTGAGAGGAAGTGTCTCTTCTCTCCTAATAGAGCATCAAGCAGAGATGTTTTCCATTTGATCTCGAGTTTTAAAAGTGTGCATTTTCCTTTCCTCGCGGCCATTATGTGTCTTGGATACAGCCGGATGTAAGCAGTAGCAACCCCAAAGTGTTGTTGCTTTCATAGGCCTGTAAACTGCGAGCTATTGAGGTCCCTGTTAGTGTTAGTGCCTGAGGTTCAGCTGTGAGAAAACACTCAGTGGCTTTTTCATGATGGAGCATGTGTGTGTGTTTGTGTGTGAGGAGCTGTGTATGGTTGTGTGAGTGTGATGTGGTTCCCAGGAGGAGGGGGGCATGGAAAATGTGAACAGCACCGCGGTTTGGCTTTGGAGCAGACATGGTGGCCGACGCTTGTGTTGCTTTTGTGGAGGTGGAGAGGCCCGCTATCAGCCTCACTGTCCATCACTCTTTCCATCCATCCCCCCCCGCCCACCCCTCATCCTGAACAACTGTACCAACATGATAAGAGCCTGAGAAACGCTGGTGTCACACCTCTTTTCCCCCTGTATCCTGTGTGCTCACTTATCTAAAGCCTGTATTTTATCAATCAGGAGCTGGGACACTCGCACATAAATACACAAATGCTGCACTTTTTCTCTCGGCCATATCTATGAAACTCTCCCGGCCTTCGTGTCATCAATCCACAGGTTTCCGAGCCACAGGATGAGTCGGCAGAGCTACTTCATTGTTGGTTTGGAAAACCCTCTTTGATCCTCCCCCCCCCTTCATGTTTTATTGACAGTGTTTACATGGCAATGCCAGCCTGAAACAATGAGCA